ACAACACGGACTGGGTGGGAGCCAATACCAGCCAGTCGTCAAAGTAAGCCAGAACCCGAACCCTTAACAGACTCAAACAGGTCACCACGACCCGGGTAAGGAGTGTGAACACTCAAGGTGCCAGATTCAAGTCGAATGGAAGGCAACAAATGCGGTAAGCTTGTTGCCTCACGACAAAACCGAGCCAGTCCCCGAACCCCGGACGAATCAGGACATACCAATATGCGTCCCAGAGGTCCAGAGACACCATCCAGGCACCCGGCGCCAAAAGCAGCTGGACCCGAGCCAGAGTGGTCATCCGAAAGGAGGAGCAAAAGACCCAGGGATTCAGATTAGATAAATCCAGTATGAATCGCAGATCCGCACAGTCCAGTTTCGGAACTGAAAACAGGCAGGAAATCCGCCTGAGGGACGTTGTCGTTCGACTACACCCAAGCGAACCTACTTCTGGATGACATGACAGCACAGGAGAAGAGGCCTGCCCTGCCAGCCTCGATCCCCCCGAAGGATCAACGCAATGCCACAGCAGGTCGGAGGAATGACCCGAAATGCCCACGAATCATGGGACCAGGCGAGAGCAGACAACGCAAGCTTTCCCCCCCCCCCCCATCACTCCGTCAACGGGGCAACACGTGAACGGGCCGACAACCCCTACGAGAGCCCAACTTACAAGACTGACAAAGGCCGTCAACTAGAAGAAGCCGTCTGCAGAAAAAGCACCACTGCAGACTCTGCAAACAGCAACAGACAAGAAGAGGAAGAAAATCTAAGAGCCAGAGGCCCAAGACGATTCCAAAATTTGGACGAGCACCGCCTGTCAGCACACGAGGCAAGAAGCAAAAAACAGACACCACCTCCCTCAGAAACGACGCATACAACTTCAAACTTCATCAAAGCAGCTGGCACACAAGCTGCCGAAGCAACCCACCAGACCCTGGCCCGGAACCCAGCTCCTCCACACCCAGCACGAGCCAGTCCGAAGACAGCTCCAGCAGGGAAAAAGAAGCGCAAGACCGAAGCCAGGTGCCCACGGGCGCACAAACCCTCGGCCACCAGGGATGCCGAAAGGGAGGGAACCTGCATATGAAGTAGCACCTGGCCAACATCATAAGGAAGGACGGGGGCGAACAAGCACGCATTGAGGTGCTCCAACTCACCCTCCAGGAAACCTGAACGACCGTAGTCAAGTCTCGCCATTCAAGTGAGCAGTCCGACAGGACGAATGCCGAGCCCCCCATGAGGAAAAAGCAGTCTGCCAGCTAGGAAGACTCCGGCACCTTGTAACGCAACTAATAAGGAAAAAGAGGAGCCAAACTCAAAAAGAAGAATGCTTCAATAATGAGGCGTAATCCAGGTTTCACAGGAGGCAAGCCGCAAGGGGCCTCCCACACCTTCCTCTGTGGGATGCAGGAAGCCAAAAATCTCCAGGAGGAGGGAACCGAAGAACCCAAGGGAACTCGGAACCAAACCCAGGGAGGAGTCGAACTCATAACAAAATCGTACAGGAAGGGGAATAGGAAAACCCCTCCCCCTGTAACAACAAGCCCTACACCGAGGGCACCAACACCCAAGCAGGGACCAGTGGGGCCCAGGACCCGCCCAAGTCAACTCCCCAGCCCCGGAATCCTCCACGTCAGGACCCGGGGCCGAACAGTACTCCAAACTGTCTGCCTTTGGAGAAAAAACAGTCCACCGGAAAAACAGGGATGAAGGGGGCCCGCTGGAGTGGCCAAAAAGCTCCGGCAGGAGGACCAGGCTCGAATGCCTCTGTCGCCTATCCGGAAGAGGCAATCCTCGAAGCCGCCCGAGTCTCACTACCAGCATAATTCAGCGAGGCAGCTGCGGGGCATCCAGAAAGGCAACCAACCTCGCACGTTGCTGTAACTTAAACAACGCATGCAACGCTAAAGCTGTCTGCACCCAAAAATCAGTCTCAGTGGACTAGGCGAGTTGGAGTACAAACAAAGAACACCACTCGCAGGACTCCAGGTCATAGGTGTCACTGACCCCAACAGGCAGCAAGGCAGAGGCAAACGGTGAGTGTCACCGAGACAGGGGGACAGAGCAACCTTCAAACTCGCACAAGGCAAGGTGGAACTCAGAGGTCTCCTACATTGAACCACTGAGCCCCAATGGGGGTTTCCAGGGCCCTTATGCTGACTTTACACACAGAGATTACACTAACGTGATGCATCAAATGAACAAATCTACAAGGGCCGTGACGAGGATTCGAACCCGAGTCCAGGAACATCCCAGACACTGCCTTAATCGACTGAGCTACGATAGGGTTAAAGAGAGTTGAAACCGAAGTTCTACTGAACTTACTGGATCCCGTAGCCTCTCCGAGAGACAAACCAGGATTTTACACAACTCCCCCCTGCACCTGAGCTATGTCAACAAGCTGTTCTCCCTCTTTGCCCTTACATCATTACACACAGAGATCACACTAACGTGATGCATCAAATGAACAAATCCACAAGGGCCATGACGAGGATTCAAACCTGCATCCGGGAGCATCCCAGACACTGCCTTAATTCGTAGTTCGGGTGAAGGGGGGAGTTGTGTAAAATCCTGGTTTATGCCTCGGAGAGGTTACGGGATCCAGTAAGTTCAGTAGAACTTCGGTTTCAACTCTCTTTAACCCTATCATAGCTCAGTCGATTAAGGCAGTGTCTGGGATGCTCCCGGACGCAGGTTCGAATCCTCATCACGGCCCTTGTGGATTTGTTCTTATGCTGACTGCTAAGGGAAGACCCAGGCGAGGGACTGCTAACTGGTTATCCCAGAGCTACCAAGCAAACAATCTAAAAGCTGAACGCCTGCAACGTATGCAAGCACAGGGGACCTAGAGGAGGGCCACCAAAAACCTACTAGTGGTCCTACCGCCACACATGGCAGACCCCCCGCCAGGCAAAACAAAACAAAACAAAAACAAAAGAAAAACCCCGCAAAAGCACATCATCTCCAGGTGAACAGAACCAATCGCTATGTGTATATCAGACAGCTGCACAGTACCTCGTGCCCCAGCCAGCGACGAAACTACCTCCTACCCAAGGGAAAACAGCAGTAAGAACCTCCCCAGCTGAACCCCCAAGGGCGAGCAGTCACTGAGCAGCGACAGAACCACATGGAGGTAGCTGCTCCTGAACGGCTCATGGAAGATAACCCTGAAGCCGCAAAGGCAGTACTTACAGGGGCACCTAGGAAAGGTAGCCCTAGGTGCATGCAGCCCCAGTACTCTTGTGTTACTTCCAGCTCACACGCCACCAATACAGAGCAGCAACACTGCACTGCAGCGCTGCACAGAGTGGAGCCAGAGCAATCGACTGTTCACCATCACAACAGCCTTTGAACTGAGGAGAGTTGCCGGTGTGAAGGTCGGATTCCCCCATTTCCCTCCCGGGAAGGGGAGGGGTTGCGCAAACGGATGCGCGGCGGTTGTGGTGACATGTTTGTTTCCCGGTTTTTGATTGGAGAGTTCCGTTTGTTTTTTCGGCTTTCGGTTTACAATTTTTTTGGCCAGCAGTAGTTTTTGAAATTCCTACCTTTCTGGGTGCTTGACCTGGTAGATGGCAGACAAAGACTGCTTCCAATTACACGGGGATGTCTTTAGGCCATTGCTCCTCATGCCTCTCTTGAGGGGGCCAGGTTCTGGCTCTGGTCCCCGGTAGGCTTAGAACTCCTTCGACTGACTGTTGCCACGGTCTAATATATACACATCGGCCCGGTATAGCTCTAGGGAGCCGAAGGGGCTCTCCACAGAAAAAGAATAAAAATCCATCAGAGACATTGAAATAATTAGGTAATAATATCTTTGTGGCAACCCTCACCTGACAGCTCAGGCGGAGTAGACCTTGTCTGCTGACTGATCTGTCAACGCCTCTTTTTTGGCACACTTCCCCACTCTATTGTGCCCAAAAATTTTATTTCATTTTTCCTGTGATCAGGGAACACAAATGTACACTTATAAGATGAAAGAATTTTTTGGATTTTTTTTTTTTTTTTGCGCCTGTGGGTGTTGAAGCCATTATGACCCTTAGTGGTCCAAGGGTTAAGGTTTCTTAGCAGACTCTGGATTTTCTTTTTCCTCGCACTATGGTGCCTTGTACTATGACTGTCTTTCAGCTACTGTACTTTGAACAACGACCTAATCGAGTCTGCCGTGGGAATATTCTCGGACTCGTGGCCTTCAGAGGTTCTCCTCTTCCTCTAGGGATCCTTCACACAGTCCTGTTTAACATCTGCTCTTTAGCCTTTTGGAGATCAAATTGCAGCATTTCCTTCCCAGAATTTCACCCAAGTGTATTACATGTTGATGCTTTTCTTCTAGGTAAGCTTTTTCTTCCCAGGAGCAGCCTGGGTGCCCTCCTGCAGCTCTTCAACACCTCTACCTATTGAAAAATAGGATACTTCCTGGCCTGCACATTGAACAAGTCCACTTTGTAGCACAGGTTAGTTTTCCAATCACATTCTATGTAATCCTGATGATCACTTCTGCATTACTGGGAATATCCTAGTGGAAAAGCTCAGAAATCTGGCTTTGAGTGAATACGACAAGTTATTTTCTTAACATAAAAGTAGCCTTTCATATGAACTCAAAGCCTGATTTTTTTTTTTTTTAACTTATGATAATGCAAACTTTACCTGATAAAGTTTAACTGAACACTGAAAATTTTTAGTAATACACATTCAACTGTAATGATGCTAAATATTTAAAACACTTACTGATATGAACCAATTACTGTATGACAGTCATTTATAATTTAGTACCAAATAAGGCTGCATTACCTGAACAAGCCAGACTAACAAATTATGTGAATTAACTTAAATTCTACATTATTATACATAACTGTTCAACATGTCCAGGATTATCAACTTAATGCTTTTAAAGGTTGCACAAAATATTTGTGTACGCCAAAAGAATAATACACCTGTTAAAATGCTGGCTAGATAACAAGTGGAAGCATCTTAAGTTTCAGCCAAGAATGCAATTGACTAACCATTTTTTCCTTCTTCCTTTTCTTGTCTGTCTGCCGCCTCTCCGAGCACACCGACAAGCAGAGTCTTGCCCCGTGAGGAATCTCCTGGATGGGAAGGTCGAACTGGATCCATTCCCCCCACCTGGGGTTACTTCCTGCCACGTGTAATGTCTCGCCAACGTCACATAACCGATCACCACCGTGAAAAACTCCAGCCCGAACATATATCTGCAAGTACAGCACTTGACTCATTAATATAGTCAAGAGAGCATGAATGTAATATCCAACAAATTCATACAATTTGTTTCCGATTATAACATTCAAGTGGTGGTTTACCACGAAACATCTGTCCCATACTATCACGTCTTAAAAAAAAATAAAAGTAAAATTTAATGTCATAAAAACTTCTTTCTGGTACAGTCCTGATGACTCCCAAAAGCTACCTCACTGAGATTGCTCCTATCTACTAGGTTACATCAGGTGTTGAGGTCTGTTTGGCTGTACCCAGTAAATCCTTAACCAGTAGGATGCAGGAAAATATTCCTGGACGAAAGATAAGCAAGGAATAACTCAGTCTTGCTCTGTTGCTCATGCTAATGCTGATGCCTCTCTCAAAACAAATGTTGGAAATTTCCAACACTAATACAATACTATTGTATTATAATAAATTAGTATTAAAATATACTAACTACTGTAGTTACTAAAACTTACTAACAGTAATGTTCACACTCAATTTAACGGCCTCTTTTATACCGATCTGCCGGTATTAACGACCGGTTTGGGAGCCCAGTATCTGGAGCCTGCTATACCGGTCTGCGGTCGATATTACCGACAGTCGGTATTGGGTTTGTTGTGGCATCAGCGTCCCCTCACATGGCGACCAGGCCGCCACCGACCTGGATCGTCCAGAGTCATATATTACATCTTAATTTTCTTTTAAAATGATTCACTTTAATGAAGAAAATTGTAAATTATTATTAATAAAATATTTTGAAACAGTTTTTATTAAGCAAAAGTCTTTGTTTTCTTATTAAATACCTTTTATAGTATGTATAGGCACTAGGTATTTTTTTTCCCACGGACCTAGTATGTACTCCGCCGGGCCATGTGTTCCCATTGTTTACCGTGAACTCGCGCGGCTAGCTTCAATTGTGAAGGATATTACTGTACTGTAATTGTGATCTTTTTAATTTACAAAATGCCAAAAGTTACCCAAAGGAAGCGCCTGACGGTTGCACAGAAGCTGGAGTTAATTAAGAAACTTGATAAAGGATATTCTCATGCACGAGCAGCAGCAGAGTTTAACATTCAACATAATTGTCAATAGTGAAGTAGAATTAGAACTCATGTGAATTAGTAGTAAGGCTAGCTGTTGTGTGAAGTGAGTGCCTGAAAATAAGTGTACTGTACATACAGTATGTACCCTGTATACAATATAAACAATATAAAACAAGCGCTGCAGAGGATGACGTAATCATCACAGCTTCGTAATCTTCAGCTTCATTAAAAGTAAGTCAATTTACCAATTTTATTATAGTATTACAAGATATTAATTGTTTTTTTTCAACAAAAGCTACATATTAGTCTCTGCAAATGTATATTCTATCGTCAGCAGAGAAAAGGTGAGCTCAAAATATTTCGTCTTGGCTAGCTCTCAGTGACAAGGCTCGATCGCCATTGTTATGGCATGGCCGCCACAGCCTGTGTCGTAACATTAAAAGTAAGTCAATTTACCAATTTTATTATAGTATTACAAGATATTAATTGTTTTTTTTCAACAAAAGCTACATATTAGTCTCTGCAAATGTATATTCTATCGTCAGCAGAGAAAAGGTGAGCTCAAAATATTTCGTCTTGGCTAGCTCTCAGTGACAAGGCTCGATCGCCATTGTTATGGCATGGCCGCCACAGCCTGTGTCGTAACATTAAAAATACATTACCTGCACTGTTCAGGGTAAATCAAAACACATCTCTAAAATTTTATTAAGACAATATTAACTCACTGATTGATACATGAAATATTTTTCAATACAAAGGAATGAATCAATTTTTTCCCACCCATCTGGACTTGATCAGAGCGTGTTCACACATCATCCATGCAGCAGCCAGCAACTGGCTTAATCGTCGGCCGTGCACTAAATTGGAATGCAATTACACAATGAACTTTATTTAATTTTAGTTATACAGTATAAAATATATCCTACCTGAATGTTACTTGAAAAATTACCCGACCCGACTTAACGTCGGAAATAACGGAGCTCCGTAAATAACGACTTGGGCTCAGCCCCATATAGGCTGTTAAATTGAGTGGATACTGTAATGCCATGGAGAAACTTAAAATCTTCTACCCTTAGATAAGTATATAATTCTTTTTTGATGCATCATTAGAGATTGTATATGTCGGGGCAGCTTGTCGTTATATCGAGCGACCACAACAAATCCAACGTTAGTACCACACCAAAATTTAATTTACATTTCATGAATATAGAGATTTAAGTAACCTAGTTCAATACTACGTAATATCCCTTAAATTACAGCTCGCATGTGAGTAGTCAACGAGCTGTTACCTAACTTCGTGTTATTCACCTCTAAGTGCTTCTACGAGGAATTCCGGAGGTCACGAGGATGAGGCGTGAATGATGTCATAGAAATCGTCTTAAAGCCAAGACTTTTTTGTACTCATTTATTTACTCTAAAATTGATTATTTATACATAATTCTATCTAATCGAATGCTCGTCATGTGCACTGGAGATAATCTGTGTTTATTTGGATGATTAATTTCAGATGCTAATAATCTTTATAATTTCTGGTGATAATCTTCTATAGATTCTTTAATATTGGTCACAAGATTAGTTATTACACAATGAACTGGTGCACGAACCACACTAGTTCCTAGACGTATATGAAGTTCTAGCAATACCCCCCCCCCTCCCCCCAATGTAGGTGTTTAAGGCTTTGATTTAAGTTAATTAACTATACAGCCCATTAATTAGTTAAGTGATTATGTTTCATAATATTTATCCATAGACACTGGTTCTTCTTTGTGTTTCTAATGATCATTTTTATTAGTTTCCCTCTTTTCTTAAAAGTGGGTGGTCCTTCGTAATTGATTTCATTAATTTAATAATTAAATAATTAAATAAATTGAGTCAGGCCCCAAATATCCCACAACAAAATGTGCCGTGGTAGACAAGTCTAAAAATCCTCGAGCCCTAAAATATATAATGCCGTAATATACTATAGTTCAAAAAAATCATGATTTAATCAATCGATGTTTACAGAATGGTTTGAAAGCCACTTTTGCAAGGAGGTTAGAGAATTCCAGATCAACAAATGTGGAATAAAGGCCAGTGAGGTTAAGGCATTGTTGCTGCTAGAAAATGCTAATGGGATGAGCAGGGGCAAGTTAATTTCAAGGGATGGCAGAATAAAATGCATGGCACTTCCACCAAACACAACATCCTTGATCCTGCCCATGGACCAAGGTGTTATCCTTGCTGCTAAACGTATGTACCAAACAGCAATGCTTGAAGATGTTTTAGTTGTTTTGCCTAACAAGGAAGATGAATTGACAGGAAAGAATACAAGGGCTCAAAGAACACTAGAAAATTAAAAAAAAAAAAAGTACACAATTAAGGAAGCAACTGGGCTAGACTTTGGAATAAAGTGAAAGAAAACTGCACTAACAAATTCATGGAAGAAACTTAACAAGAGGCCTAGAGGTGAAGCAGTAATATCTGATAGTGAATTCGAAAGTTATGAAAATGTAGCCAACGATTTTGAAGGGTTTGAGGAAAGGATCCGGACAATGTTGCTCCAGGCTGGTCAGGGGTGTACAAGTGAATAATGTCAATGAATGGTTAGAAAATTATTACAATCCTGGTTATGAATTGTTAACTCAAGGATAGACTGTTCAAAGTGTTCTCTGAAATAATAATGATAACTGATGATGACTGACGATGTTGGTGAGGCTCTGCCTAGAGGTGTCATATCAGGAGATTGCAACAAATTGAGGACCCTCATTGAATATTCAAGAAAAAAGTAAACATGAGGTTGTTGGAAATTTTTATGTACACTTTACAGCTTTTAACCACTGTGCTGCTCGCCTTCCAAATATGGCACCCCACCTTGTGCGCAGGAAATAAATTCTCAGGAAATTTCTTTTTTTAAGCGTTTAAAACCCTTCCCCGATTACGGAAATGTAAACAAAAACTCAAAATTGTACTTACTTTGGCCGCAATTGGGTCCATAACATGGCGTGTGATGTCATTAATCCCTAGTCGCCCGTGGCGTACGTTCCCGAGGCCAGTGGCGCGCCCGCTTCAAGGTGTGAGAGTTGCCACGAATATATTTTTGTTCATTTTTTTGCCCATAGTTCCAGATACATTTATTTTGTTTTTTCTTGCCGATCCTAAGTATAATGAACACGTACACTATACTATGGCAGTAGAACATCCGTACTGTCCAAAGACACTGTTACGTGCATCACACGTGTTCACATATCTTGCATATATTTCCAATGTATCATGCTAATTTATGTATATATACAATTTATTTATACACTGTACAGTATCACACACTATATGGTGGAAAATCACAGGTGGAAAAAAAACTTTTTCGTCCACGTCACAGACTTCCGCACACACTCGACGGCACCAAGCATCAAGTCACATTTATCTACGAGGCGCATGTTCACGTTGTAGTCTATGCCACAATCTGGTTTATATGTGGGGAAGCGCGTTTGAAAGTGGACTTTGCCACTGTCCAACATGGCACCGGTGTGAACTGTAGTCAGCATATTCACCTCGCGTCTGTCCCTCCACTGCACTGAGAGCATATTGTCACACTTGCGCAGCTGGCAATCACCCACTGCAATATCTAAGCCAAGCACTGGCATTTCCTTCCTGTGGGCCTTCACAGTGCCACATATGCCAGTGTTGTGGGCAAGGAGGTATCTGGTCAACAAGGGGCTGGTATAGTAGTTGTCGGTGAACAGTATATGCCCCTTGTTCAACGGTTCCATCAGGGTTTTGACGACACTGCCGGAGAACCCGTGTTCATCTTGAGCTGGTGTGTCGACGTCTGTACCCGAATACAGTAACCTGTCCATGACGAAACCAGTCTCACAGTCGCACAGCACGAAAAAAGTTAGTCCAAATTAGAGGCGCTTTGATGGGATGTACTGCTTGAATGCCAGTCGCCCCTTGAACAGTACAAGCGATTCATC